TGAAACAATAAACTCGAAGAAGTGCTACTGATAAACAACTTTAAGACATAACCTCCTTCCACATCCTCTGGGCATGGACAACAAAGTTTTGCAATTTTTTCTTCTGTTGAAACCAACATTTTAAGGCGTGGACCTCAGGAGATCATGTCTCCAAAGTGATGGTGACTAATGTTGTCAATTTATTGTTTTGCAGCTAGCCAAAGATTTGTTACACCCATTGCCCGCTCAAGAGAAGCGTAAACACAAGCTGAAGCGCTTGGTGCAACACCCCAACTCCTACTTCATGGATGTTAAGTGCCCCGGCTGCTACAGAATCACAACCGTCTTCAGCCACGCTCAAGGCGTTGTTGTATGTGCGGGATGTGCTACCATCTTGTGCCAGCCAACCGGTGGTCGCGCTAAGCTCACAGAAGGTAAGTTCCCACTGCATGCTTTTCCCTCACCAACATGTGAATCCATTAATAATGTTGTTTTTGTTTTCCCATTTTCAGGTTGCTCTTTCAGAAGGAAGCCTCAATAAATGTGACGTTTTAGTTTCTTTGCTGCCTCCATTGAATTTTTTTCAAATTATAATTTTTTAACATCCAGATCATAAATCAATAAAAACCTTTTCGTTGTGAAAAGCTTAAAAGAGATGTGAACACAAAATTGATTGGAACAATTTTAAAATATGCATGAATGATGGACATGGGCTGCTGAGCTCTGGTGTATAGGTGCTGTTTATTGTTGTATACAAATCAAAGGAGGATATTTTTGCAAAACAAAAAATGTAAATTTGAAAAAAGTGCTATTCCATGAATACAGAAACTTAAAGGTTATAATTGTGTTTAATTCAGGGTTTGTGAGACATATTTTAGTAGATTTTTGTATTGTGTTGAACGTGGAAATGATGAAAATAGAAAATTTTATATCGAATGTGGCATCACAAGCAGTTGACTAGCCATATCTTTACTGAATTGAGTTAAGCTGACTCACTATAAGTTTCTTTCAGACATCTTAAAAATATTTGATGGATTCTGTGCCAGAACAGAGGGACATTGCAATATAAGCGGAATAAGCAAGCTTTAGCGAATTGTAATAAAGATTAAAAACCAGGCAAGAATTGTACCATCCCCAAAGTAAAACTCATTTCAAATTACCATATTTGTCATCGAATTAATACCATTTCAGTTCCATGTGTTGTGTATTAAGTTTTGCATACGTTCATAGAAGATAGCAATAAAACACTTCCGTAATGCTATGTTTACGTTAGAACTTTTTGTAAGGTTAACCTACTTTGAGAGGATTTATTTGAAGTATAAATAATGGATATGACAATTTTAATCCAAATCCAGTAGGTTAACCCATTTATATATAAACGTACTGTAAGGATTCTAAATGAATTTTGACCGAACTTTCCTAGGCGACACTGTTTTACAGAAGAGCCTGAAAATTATATGATCATAAATAGATATGTTTATCTGGATTAGTCCTAAAAGAAAATGCATACTTCATTGTTTAAATATTACAGTCCATCTTGACGTACATTGGAGTCTATAAGTACATAGTATTATTTTCTATGCGAATAGAGTGCAATTAATTATTTTAGGGTAGAAGACCATCTCAAAAAATTATGGCGTAATATGACTTACACTATGGTTAATCTGTTTTGATTATTTTAACCAAATTTTTCCATTGAGAAGGATAAAATGAAATGTATGATTAAAAATGTGGAAAGACGTTCGAAGTACGTTACCTTTTGTACCTTACTTTCCTTTTTATACCCTCAGCCATATGGCTAGAAGAGTTATATATCATTCGATACGGCCAAAACGTGCCTCATCAAAATAACGATTTAATACCCTATTTCTCTTTGGATCAAATCCATTTCAGGGCATTTGAAGTCGATCTAGCGATGTCCATCTGTCCGTCTGGCTGGCTGGTGCGCTCGATAAATCTCGAAGGAATTGTCCGATTGGTTCCAAACTTGGTACATCATAATATTATTATCAAACTAAGATCGAGTTCGGAGATGGGCAATGTCGATCCACTCCTTCTGGTACCTCCCACACAAAATGACAAAATTTTCAAAGAAAATAATTTACTGCACAGAAAGAGAGAGGATAATCCTATTTTGCTCCAACTTTGTAAATCCTAATGTTTGCATCAGTTCTACGTCAGGTACGAAAATGGACAATAATATCGGTTCACTCTATCAAGTACCTCCCTCACAGAGTGCCGACTTTTTGAATAATTATAAGTCTTATAAAATGTTATTTAAGAATTTGATTGTCTTCAAATTACATACTTGTATTAAGCCATGGCCTGGTGTGAACCCACAAATCTTTTGGGCCAAAAACATTTCTTCAGGGGTATTTGTTTTACGGACTTGAAATCAATTCCAAGACTGTAGCTCTTATACCGATTTATTTAAAAGATTATAGCCTTAACCATTGTGACCGACAATTTTTGAATACTTAAATGCAAATGTTTTAATTATTTTATGAAAAAAAAAAAAAAAGAATTTGGGTGGTAAGACTCATGGTAAAGCTCCCAGCTGATTACAATTTTTTCTAAGTGTGCCCGACTTCTGGCAATTTTGTGTATGTATTTGTTGATTTGAAAAATAAAAACAAAATATTTTCAAAATCAATGATTGGAAGAAACTTAAATTGCGGGGCGCGCATTAGTGATATTAACCAGATTTGCCACGGAATTGAAAGATTGAACACTTAGGATCATATTTTTGAGAGAACATCCAGGCATTTCATTCATTTTCTCGCTGTAGAAATGAACAATAATGCCAAATAAATGAAAACGACTTGTTGCCTACAATTTTGAATAATTCTGACAGGAAGTGGACATAGCCTGAGGGTTGTTTTACTGAAGTTTTACGAAGCTTATCTACCTCCTTATTGGACCATGGTAAGACCTAACTGTGTATCTGTATGCAGATGACCTATACGTACCTATAGAAATATTGCTATGCATAACCCATAGGAGAAAATTCAAATTGCATTCTGCCTGTCGTTAGTGGTTATATATGTACAGTATACCTATAGAATGGGAAAATCCTTCTACAGGAAACAAAATATATTTTCTATCTACAAAATATGCCTTAAATTGCAAGATTTACAAGATTTCCATTTATTTAAAACCTATGGGGGTTTTATATTTATTTATATAAAATAGCCATTAAATAATCTAATCTTAACAATGTAAATAATTTTAAACTTACCCCAACATTCAAGTGAATGCTTCTTGGCTTTTGATGGCACATCTATCTTTGGTATAGATAAGGGAAACTTGCAAATTTGTAATGCCATGATAGATCTTCTTTTAACTTGGATGAACTTATGACCTATTTCACCAAAAATGAAGCATTTTCTTTGAACACAACGAAATTAATTCGCGAACTAGCTTCGTGAACTATAAAAACATATTATTTGATTTACAAATTAAAAACTTTCTTGTGATGCCTTTAAAACATAAGCACTTCTATTTTTTCACTTGACCACAAATTTATAACTACAGGATTCTAGACTTTTTGATGCCTCTTCAACAAAACACATTTCACCCAAAAGGAAGCATTTTTTTGAACACTACGTAAATATTTTGCGAGATGGATTTTCTTCCTGTGGAAACAATTTCAGGCTTTGTAAACTATAACACATATTTTTTTCTTTTTACGGAGTATAGAATTCTTTGTGATGCCTTAACAAAATATTTGGATATCATTCACTTGACCACGTAAAATGGATCATTTTCTTTGCAAATTTATAATCACTTTTTATTAACTTCCTTTTGGTGCTTTTTCATATAACCAATTTCAATCAATTATAAACGACAACCACACGACAAAGACTTAAAACTTAATCAATTCTATTTTTTCACTAAACCACCAAAAATGGCGCATTTTTCTTGCAAATAATTTATAATAACAGGATTTTATCAATTTTCTTTCAACTTCTCTCAATACAATAAATTTCACCAAAGAGCAAGCATTTTCTTTGAAAATAACGAAATGACATTGCGAAATTGATTATCTTAACGCGGGAAATAATCCAAGCTTTGTTAACTATAACACCGTTTTATTACTTTTACAGACTTACAGACAAATTTATTCTGATGCCTTTTCAACATAAGCGATCACATATTTTTTTCACTTGACCACGAAAAATGGCGCATTTGCTTTGTACGCAACGAAACTACTTATTAATTATACTTATTTTCTTTTCGCGGAAACTGAGCCGATCATTGTAAACCTTAACATCATTATTTTTGTTTTACTTAATAAAATATATGTATTATTTATATCTTCAGAAATAAAAACACAAATTGACTTCAAATTCAAGGCGTCAGAATCTGTTTTTTTTTTTTTTTGTGGAGTGCTTTTTGTTGATATATATTTTTGTGTCATTGTTGGCAACGCTCTTGAAGTAACGTACGAGACAGCTGTTTTGTGCAACACCGACATAAAGGTCATTTAGACTATTTAAATGCGATTATAAATGGTTTTCGAATATATGACATCAGAGAATAACGCAAAAGAAAGTGTTCGATATAAAAACATTATACCAATGTCCTACATACAGAATAATAACTCATATTGTACAAAGAAATAGGACAATAAATAGGATAATTCCCAAATAATCATACAGTCTAATGTCACCTTAATGACAACTTAAAGCTTCTTCACGAAATACAACCATGTGTTGGTTTGTAGTTTTTGGCGGAAAATGCAGTTGACGTCAGAAAACTTTTGCTGTGCAATTTTCATATTTTTAACAATTAATCAAATTGGAAATTTTGAATAAAATGAATGAATTTTCGTTAATCGGGTTATAGTTTAGTTTTCTTTAAATAATAGTGAATACGAAATGAAAGTGGCCAAAATAATTCATCCAGTTTATACGTTAAACCTTTAAAGTGTCATTTCCACAGTGGGCATCCCTCTCCACAAAGATTTGAAGATATTTCATTTGCAACCCTCAAACGTTCGAAAGTGGTTACCCGAAATCATGGGAAGACATGTGAGTTTATCAAGGTGAGTTATCAAGACATCGATTCCAGAAATTATTTCTAAAAACGCGTATTTTCTTTACTAGGTAGGTGGTATTACATTATTAAGGGGACTTTGAACCACATCAAAGGAAATCAACAAAGGTTTCAGATTACTTGCCAGTTGTTATGGATGAATGGTGTAAGTTAACGATTCGTTTATTAGATTATTCTTATTGGATTGTATCCTATGTACCACAAAGAAACATATTTGGGAGGAAACTGTTGACTTCAAAGGAATACTTTTGTTGGTATTTACATTTAAAAGGAGATAAATACAGGATCATAGAGTTATACCTACTCTGCAACAATTACAGATAAATTAGCAAATATTGGTTTCCTAGCCTATGGGTATACGACGTGACATGACATCTTTATTTGATCTGTAGGACTATTTTTGTGTAGCTCAAGTGAGAAATCTTTGGGCATATGTAAATTGCTTTAAACGAAATTCACTAAGGTTTAAGAGGTTTAAATTATTCTATGTACACAATGTTGTGGCAGAAGCATTGATTTTTAGGAATCAAAAAACATTTTCCTAGTCTAATTTAGGGGTCACAACTTAAATCAAGGATGTGTGAAAATGTTTAGAATTTTGGTGAAATTCATTAAAAAAACTCAATAACAAAAGTCATTATCTCTTAAAACGTATATGACTTTCAAGAGAATTATACTTGGCCATCTAAAAATTTGTTGCTAACTTGGATCTTCTCAGACTACCAGAAGAAGAAGAAGAAGACATTATGATCAGCATTAGGGAAACTTTATGCTCATTTATATCAAAATTTTCTACAGTAACAAAGAAAATTCAACTCTTTAAAAATCACAAAAAATCCCAATGCATTATTTCGAATAAACACCCACGACCTTCATTGCATTCAAGTAGGACACTTACCCATATATTCTTTTTCTTTGCTTTATATAAACATAAAACTAGAATGTCCTTAAGACTGTATGTGTGAATGGATATACAATTTTATTTAGTATAGAAATCAAGTTAATATGGTTAGATGTATACTTTATTTGTTGTTGCAATTTTTTGTGGACATTGCCTGGCAAAGCCATCAGCAATGGTGATGATGACGAGGATAATGCGAATAAGGATTGTCGCTTCCATTTATCGGGACAATGTGTAGAGGGTGCATGATAATATATGATTGCAATAAAAACATTTTGGTCATTTGCCAACATCCGGTTTTGGGTCTGTTGCATTTTTTGGATATATGGCTGCAGGTCGGCAAAGAAACTACAATGAAATGTAAATCTGAAAATGGATTGAGAAAGATGTTAGCGGATATTTTAAGATGGCGGAATATTCATTGACCAAAAAATATGATAAAGTATTTGTAGACCGAAAAGAATGCTACACAAGCAGGATAAACTCTAGATTAACCCAAAATTGTGTTTATAATGAAATCAGAATATATGGAATTGATTTTTTAATTGAACATTGTTTGAGAAATGCTTGATTTTTGCAATTTTCTTGACTCTTGTTGTTCTTTGTTTCCACTTCAAGTAAAGAAATTGAAAAAATACATCCATCAAGTCAAATCTACCATCCAGTCAAGATGTTAAGTGAGCAAAAAAATATTGCCAAGAAGTGAAAAAGTAGCGAAGTTAAGAAAAACAAAACAGCGAAAAAATATTCTCTTCGAAGTAGAAGAAAACGGATACCAATCCCTTTACTGCTTTTGGTATGAGTTCTTGCATGAAAATGACAATGAAACGTTATGCTACGGCAGCGAACTATAAGCGCTAACTGTTGGTTGTTGACTGGTATAGTTTTTGCTGAGTGCATACTTTGTATTTCGCCTCGCCCACCCAAAACCCAAAAGAGAAAAGTGCATTAAAAAGAAAAGCAAAATGAAAAAGGAAATAAAGTGGGAGTACCATTATATGGTATTGCAATCGGCTTGAGATAATATCAATTTTTTACAGTTTGTATATAAATATGTACATAAGGTCGGTCGGACTTGTGAATTGGAAAATATCGTTCCATTAAATTTGGATTATTCCATTATTGAGTTTCATCATTTTGTCAAAAGAATACAACTTGGGTTGGAATGAGGTTGACTGGTTGATATTTTTGCCAGCAATTGAATTTGTGTTTCCGGATGTTAAATAAATAAAGGGATGTAGAAATGGTTTAGTTGAAAGATCATGATTTGGGGAAGGCAATGTAATTTATTTATGTAGTTTACCTAGAGCAATTGCTTGTGTTTTCAGTCGGTGGTTGATTAATGTGGCAGCGATAAGCAGAAGTACCTTTTCGCTATGCATAAGATATTCTAGGGCTAGTTGGGAGTAGTGAGTTATTGTTGTAGCTAACGATATTATGTTTATAGAAGACAAGACTAATAAAATATTTGTATTTCTAGGACTCCTAGGGCGATTTACCCATGTTGATCCATCCATTATCAAATCTCAAATGGTAATTTTCCATTGCTGTCTGTAAAGACATTCCTAAATACATAGAGTGTTTATATGGTCTGAAGTAGGAATTATACCATTTCAAAAAAATCAATTCCATGTGTGTCCCGTATGTAGTGGAATAATAAGGCAGCGATATGTAGGGGTAGATCACTTTCTATGGCTATATATTTGTTTACCAGATTATGTGTGTGAAGTTAAAACTAATTACATATTTGTATTTATAGGACATCTAGAGAGATTTATACACGTAAATACGTCCCTTATCAAATCTGACCGTACATTTTTATACCCTCAACCACATGGCTACTGAGGGTATATTTCATTTGATACGACCAAGACGTGCCTCATCAAAATGTGGGTTTTATAACCTCAAATCCTTTTCAGGACATTTGGAGTCGATCTATGGGTGTCAGTCCATACGTCTGTCTCTCTGGTTTGCATAAAAACTCTCGAAGGGAGTACCCGATTTTATCCAAACTTCTTACATCGTAATATTATTATCAAATTTAGACCAAGTTACGGCCAAAACCTTGCAATCGAAACAACCATTTTAGACCCTAGGTCTCTTTGGACCAAATCCATTTCAGGACATTTGGGTGTCCGCCCGCTGGCTGGTGCGAAGGAAGTATCCGACTTGGTACATCATAATATTATTATCGAACTTAGACCAAGTTCAGAGATGGGCAATGTCAAGCCATTTAATCAAGTACCTCCCCCACAAAGGGTCAAAAATTTGAATAGTTATAACTCTTATGAAACTTGAAATAAGAGTCCAATTTTTTCCAGTTTCGCACATCTAAATATTTCTACCAATACAAGGTCTGATATGAAAAACGGATAGAACGGACAATTCCTTCTGGTACCTCCTCCCCAACTGGTCAAAATTTTGAATAACCAAAACGCTCATAAAATGCTAAATAAGCATCCATTTCTTTCTAAATTTGACATATACCATTATTTTTTATAGATATGGAATTTGTCTCCCCACTCTTTCTGGTACCTTCTCCAGAAGGGGTCAACATTTGAAATAATTAAAATCAAACCTTGAAATCCGCTATATTTATTTCATATGCAAAATAGAAAATATGGGACCACTCCTTCGGTACGTTTCTTCCACAAAAAGGGTCAATATTAGGAATAATCATAATGCATGTCAACATATATTTTGATAAGCTGTCCAAAGACGAGGGTCTACATCTGTAGGCAAAACCGACTGAAAATTTTGACTTGTTTTATCATAAATGCTTTTATTCCTAATTTCATAGAATGAAGGTCCATATATGTTTATCCAGAAATTGTTTGTCGCGTTTGACTTTTAAAATAAACTAAATTAATACGTTATTTTTGGAATTCTAGGATATTTAAATCCCTCAACCTTACCCAAGGTGTGTATAGCTATCATATACTTATTACAAAATCTCATATCGTACCTTTTCATCCATTCCAGATAAAGACAATTATTCCCAATTTATAAAACGGCCATTATCCGCGCAGTATGACCTTGCATTTGCAAAGTAACAAAATCCCTAACCTCTCTAAAAGTGCAACCACAACTGTTGAGCAAATTTGCACCTGATTCTGAGTCGTTCCCCCCGCACATTGAACGGTTAACCTTTGCGGTTGTCAGGTTTCTGACCTACTGACACAAATATGCAATGCATGCCACACATTTATTCTGCAAGGGTGTTGGTTCCATTCATATTTGTTTTCCTTGCGCCATAATGTAAATGGTTTGTTGTCCTTTTTTTCTGAGGGTTCATATGGCGAGGAGACAAAGTGTCTGAGGGTACATGCTGGCACATTGTCTTATTATGGTGATGTTTGTGGAAAGGGGGCTTGGTCGGTCGGCCGTTCGGTCATGTGTTAGATTGAGAAATTGTATAGAGTTGAATAAATGTCAATAAATTTGAAAGCCACTTCCGTTTTCCGTTTCCGCCATTACCGCAGTAGTGTTTTTCGTTCATTCACTCAGTTATCGATTTAATGACCACACAAATTTTCCTTAATTTCACAATGGACATGCTGACAAACATGGTTATGAATGTTTCCTGTGACTTTTTACTCTGCAAATGTTGTTCGTATGAATGTGTGTAGAGCTTTGGCAGTCTATTTGTAATGTCCATACATACATTTGCCTTACTATCTGTCTGTCTGTCTGCATGTCTATGTCTTTGCCATGTGAAAATGTATCGTTGAGTGTGTGAGCCACAGTTGTGCTGTGCAAGTTTCACGTTTTGTAAACATAAAGTAAAATGTCCTTACAAGCTGTTGCAAAGACTATACATATATGTATGTATCTATATGGTTGTTGGATGTATGACCATACTCAGTCATGTGTATGCCGATTGTAGCTGTGTATGAAGATTTGTTCATTATTAATAATATGTTTGTTTGTATATCTTATCATGTCAATGATATTTATATATGTGTTAGGGAATTGTTGTTGATCATCAAAAATGCTTATGAAATTACCCTTTAATATACAGATACTTATGTGTATAGAGATATGTATGTATGTATTTATATTTGTATGCACATTCAGACATACTTATG